AGTTGTAGTTGTGAATTATATTGCAATTATATTTGTATTATCATATAGATATATTATTTATTGTTTTATGTACGTTCCAAAGTATTATTTTCGTTTTTCATCACTTTTATCCATGAACTATAGTCTGAATTGATGAATTATTTCATTATATGATGTGATAATTGTCTGTATATTATTTATTTTCGTATTAAACACTGTTAAGTTAATTATATTATCATATTAATATTATTCACCAAGTATGAGCATTTGTTTTGTAGTAGAATTATTATTTATTTAATGTTGAAGTTCAATTGCATGTTGTGTTAACTTCCATTATTTAGTTCTGATCAATGTAATTTTGCTTTGTACCAAATGATTTACCTTTATGATCCGTTATGTCTGTCTGTAACTTCTATCACTTAGTCAGTGCTTAGTCTGTGAATTTTGTTATTCTATTTTTCATAGTGTCTGTAGTATTATACTTTCTGTTCTGTTGTTTATATTTAGTTATTAATTGTTTGTGCATATTATCCATTTTCTCCCCTTCAATTCAAGAAGGTATTTCTTCAAAGAATTGGATATTTCTTTAATGTTTATTAATCATTATTATAATATAATATTTATATATAATAATTGTAATTGCTTTTGTGGTTCAATTTCTAATTATTAGTATTTTAAAGTAGTGTGTAACATTTGTTATGTTCTATAATGAGTAATTTAAATGTTATTACTATTATATCTTTGTTACTGTTAACGTTTGTCAACTTATATAATGTGTATTTTCTTTGTTATAGTAGATAAGTACACATTATGTATAATATACAAGTTTTGTTTGCACTCGTTATCTTTTATTAATAATTGTTCATAACTATGAATGAATATTTTGTTTTTGTGTTGAAAACATATGGTAATTCGTTTGTTTCTGTATAATATTCATTTAATAACATTATAATTATTATTTATGTAGTGCTTTTAGTAAATGTGCTGAGTTCTATTAAGTACACTTGTATCTGTTATTACCTGTTTTATATTATACTGTCCAAGATAATGACTTAGACATTTTATTAATTTATTTAATCATATTATATTATGATTGTTTTTGATTGTAATTATTATAATAATGTGTTTGTAATAATTATATTTGTATTATTCATTGTAATAGCCTTATCAGCTTAATACTTTGCTCCTACAAGCTACATTGTCACAATGTAAATTTAATAATCGTTTGTTAAGGTATATACACTGTACAGTTGATGTTGCTGTTACAACTTCGAAATTTATTATATAATCAGCTGCTATGATAACACGTTCTGTGTAATTAAGTTGTATTGATACATTGTTTCAAGTATATTAGAGATATAATTCTTTCGTTCATTGTTAGTATGCATTTACACAATTGTATTAATGTGTAAAGTAGTATCATTTGTTTAATAGTTATAATTTTTGCACTTGTTTTGTGCTGTAATTAGTATTTATACATTATAACATTATTCTTTTGTGTGTAATTAGTTTATACACTCTGTAGCATTGTTTTTTTTTGGTTTGTAGTTATTCATTATACTTTTGTATATCTGTACTCGTCTGTATATCTTAGATATGCATATTATATTTGGTATCTGATAAGTAATTGCAATATCCAACATGTAACTGCTGAATCCAATATGTTACATATAATTGCTCAACCATAATATGTGTTAGTTATTATATTGTTCTGTATTCATTCTGTTAGTTCTATCTGTATTATTATCATTATTATCATTATTGTTATTGTTATTATAGTGTCTACAATTGTATTATTGTTTATAATACATGTTAAATGTTTTATTTATTTGATTTAATATACTGTTTAGCATATATGTGCTTGTTTTGAGCATTAATCATTCAACCATGATATTACTATATGTGTTATTATTTGATTTATGCTATAACATATGTGTGCTCGTTGACAGTGTCAATCATTTGTACTATTGTAATGTTAATAGTGGAAGAGTAGTGTTTGCTTTATTAATCTTTTTAACGTTCGTCTGTAGTATGATCAGTTAATTTATTATAACATAATCTCCATGGTATTATAGAGTATTTTAGCATTTAATAATTGTAGTAAGTGATACTCATCATAGTTTCAAGGTTGCCTGCATAGATTATGTTATTACTGGGCCAATGATCATAATCACTAAGATGACAATCATATAATGTCTGGGTTGTATGTAGTACAGTAGATTGTGTGTTTGCAGTGTATTGATTCGTGTTTGGGATACTCAGACAGGTGAGTCGAGTTCTGCATTGTAGTATGTTGTGTGTGTGCATGTGATGCATAGAACTGTATAGAGTATAGACATAGTAGGGTGTAGATAAAGCATAGGCAGGGAGTGCAAGGCTCATAACCTGTTAAGAAAGGGGGGAAGAGAGGTTATGTGAGAGGCTTAGAGAGATCACACAAAGAGGGGGGATAGTGGACTCAGCTCACTCTCTTACAGCTTGCTTCATTGTCCATTGATTAGTTAGTCTATATATACTATGTAGGTATGTCTCAGATGTAGAATGTATGATGGAAGGTATTCCATCATCGTTCGTCATTACTTGTAATGTAGTTTATATCATCTGAGACATACTCTCATGTAGTCTCATCTTAACACTTTATCTTTAACATTCCTTTCTTTTATTCTTTGTGGCTTATCATTCTTAGTGGCTCATACTCCCTGAGTGCTCTTGTGTAGTTTAGTATATATAGGCATACAAGATCAGACTGGTCCTGTAGTCTTAATCTTGTCTACTCTAGGTAGTCCTGTACTCTTAGGCTCACTCTATATACTCTACTCTTGTCTCACTCTCTCTCTCTGCCTGTTCTGCAAGTTCCAACTATGTTCTAGTGCTTGCATTCTGTATTTCTGTTGTGTAGGATAGTTGTAGCCTGGGTCCCCTTGCTGAGCCTTTGGGTCCCCTCTACACTGTTGCTGACAATGTCCTGATTTCTCCCACATGAGTTACAGCTAACCTAGCAAGCACAACTCATGACACAAGTTATGCCTTCCTCCAAGAGGGATGAAATCAGCTTTCTGAAACACATCATCAATTTATGATCCTTGCTGGCTGCAGTTGACAATGACTTGACATGAGTACTGTGTACAACTGTGTACAACTGCAGGACATGTTGGGCTTAAATACCTGTTTGGAATGTCAAGAAACACTACCACACAAGGCATTAGGACACTAGTACTTCACAGGCTTTGCTGACTCACTCAGACACGATGCAATCTCCGAATGTTCTTATTGTTGGCTCTGGACCTGCAGGTCTCGTTCTCGCACTTTCACTCCTGAAGAACGGTATACCAGTTCGCATTATCGAGAAAGATGCTCAGCATCATAATGGAGAGCGTGGCTCCGGAATATCGGTGGGATACTATCTTAGAACGCTGCTCATAATATCTGACTGCCATTTTCCTAGCCTCGTACTCTTGAAATTGAGCAATTTCTGGGCATCGACAACGAAGTCCGCAAGCTTGGGGCTGGTCCACCAATGATCCACATGTACGACCCGAAAGATCCTTACTGCATCATACGATCTTCAAAAATAGCAGCAGACTCTGGGCCAAGGCCGGCGTTCCCGATCGTAGGTCGTCTATAGTACTGATTCAGACCTCATCTCAATTTCTTTTTAAGACCAGTCCAGTGCTGATCGGCCAATGGCGCCATCAGGCCATCCTTCGCAGGCACGTGGAGGCTCTTGGCGGAAAAGTCGAGCTCGGATCCGAGTTTATAGGTTGTGCACAAGATGAGAATGGTGTGACGGCGGGGATTCGCAAAGTCGTAGATGGCGTCGAATACATAGAGAAGGCACGATTTGAGTACCTTGTGGGTGCCGACGGTGGTCGAAGTAAATCGAGTGCTCAACTCAGACATTCAAACCGCTTACCATTCTTTCAGGTTCTGTGCGAAAGGCTATGGGTGTCAATTTCCTCGGAGAAACTCGCGAGGGAGACAGGCTACACATTGTTGATGCCCGTATAGAAGGCCTTGATGTTGATTCTGTAATGACAATTTTCTTGCTTTCTATGTAAATTGCTAAAGACTATTTAGGATCTCCGTTTCTGGGGTAACCAGAAGACTGCTATGTAGGTGTAATCAATAAAATGCGATATGCAGTCCACTCATTTTCCGTCAGGGTTACTCTCAGACAAACAGCCGAGCCTGGTTTATTCCAGATGCTTTTTTCTGGCTCCGAGATTAGACATGACTTCCTCAAAGCACATAACGACGCACAAGCAATCCAGGACGAACTTCACAGGACCACGAACCGTACTGATCTCCGAGTCACTGAAATAACTTGGCATGGCGAATGGAGGTGGGTCAGATCGCACACATTCTACGTAAGAATGATTTTTACGAATCGGCTTAGACCGAACATTCGTATGGCGGACCATTTCCTAGTCGGACGATTGTTCATCATTGGTGGTACGTTGCTTGCATAATTAGCGAGACTTCCTGCTCAGACCAGTACTGTAGACGCTGCACACACACATTCGCCAACGGGCGGACAGGGATTGAACTCCAGTATACAAGATGCTGTGAGTACTTAAAAAAATCCAGCGCACATTCTGATCTCATAAATCCGACTTTAGTTCAATCTTGCTTGGAAATTGGCACTATCAATCAGAGGAATCGCGTCGCCACGCTTGCTAGAATCTTTTGACAGCGAGCGCCTCCCAGTGATCGCGGAGATGCTCAAGCTCACGACCGCCTTACTCGACCGCTTCGTTCAGTATGGCATCGGCCCAGAGAAATCCGCCGAAGAAGCGCAAGCCCAAAACAGCTCACAGGATGAAGATGTATGGATCCGCGACGCGAAACTTGCTCAACTCGACATACATTATTGTTGGAGTCCGGTCGTCGTTGATGAACGTTTCACGCATCCTAGTACAATCTCTATGGATACATATAGTGCGATGAGTAGTGAGAGAAGAGCTGGTGATCGTGCTCCTGACGCACCGTCTCTTCTTGGAGTAAATGTCCCAGGTCGACTTTTCGACATTTTCAATCCAGCAATTCATACAGTATTACTATTTGTGGCAGACGGACCCGCAGTGGAGCAAGCTCGCGCAATCATCTCTCCGTTTTCGTCAATTGATCCGGGATTGATACAGAAGGTGCTTGTACTCCCTGCAGGCACGGACCCATCGAACATTTCGACAAGAGAGATGAAGCATGTTGTTGTGGACTCGGAAGGACATGCATTCACTAATTATGGAGTGGACCCATCGGAGAGTTCGCCAACGGTGGTTGTTGTACGACCTGATGCCATGATCGGAGCATTCCTTAAGACTGAGGCCGGTGCTCGCAAATACCTTTCCCTAGTTTTCCAATAACTCCTTGATTCTCAATGATTCTGTGTTAGCGAATTTGTAGTCATGACGTTCAAATAGAATTCCATCTTAGCTAGTTTTATTTCTATCAAAAACAATACTATTAGAAGTTGTTGTCTTGTGCACTGTCGGTGCTCAGATAATAGAAAGTTGAAATGATACAGGGTATATCCAGAATTGCTAGATTTGGATGCTTTCCATTTACTGCTGCTTGCATAATTCCTTAGAATGGCAAGATCACGTGATTTTTTCGTCACAAAGTTGAAAAACACAAAGAAAATACAATATCTCACTCAATCCTTAACATAAATGTGTACTATTAGTACCTAAATTCATACTTTTAAAATCCCCTTCAGATAGATACTTTATTAATCAA